GGTACGGATGTCCGGGCTCGCGTATTATAATCGTGTAACGGCAGACCGTGAAAATGGATTCATGCAAAGGAGAATGAAAAGGACGGAACATGTGATATGGTCGAGCCGGCGTGGCGCGATCCCCTTTTGGAATCGGACGCGGACACGGAGAGCCGACCCAAATTGGAAACCTATTTAGAGTGTTTTGCGTATCATCATGTTATCTCACAGTCTGTCTATCCTTCCACCATGGCAAAAGGCGTACAGATTCACTCCAAAGTAGCTCCACAGGCTCAGGCTGAGCTCTTCACTGAGGGCGCTCTTGACTTCCTCGCCGCCCTTCATAGGACCTTCGAGGCTACCAGGCAGTCTCTTCTTACTGCTCGAGAGGACGCTCAGCGCAAGTTTGATTCGGGTGTCGCACTTGATTTCCCTCCAGAGACTGCGAACATTCGTGCTGCGCCTTCATGGCACTGTGCACCCCCAGCTCCTGGTCTCGAAGACCGTCGCGTCGAGATCACAGGCCCAACGGATCGCAAAATGGTCATTAATGCCTTGAACAGCGGGGCTAAGACTTTTATGGCTGACTTTGAAGGTGCGTCCTATTGCCTTTTCATGCTGACTGCGTTGCTTACTCTTTCTAAGACTCAAGCGCACCAACGTTTGCGAACATGGTCAATGGCCAGATCAACCTTCGAGATGCAGTCAGGCGTAAAATTGACTTTGAAGCTGGTGGAAAGCAGTACAAGCTCTCTGCTGAACCCGCTGTGCTCATTGTCAGGTATGTACTGTCGCCAAGCTGGAAGTATCCCTCTCATCGTCTTTAGACCTCGCGGATGGCACCTTGACGAGCCGCGGATGACTGTCGACAATGCCCCTATTTCAGGGTCTATCTTTGACTTCGCCCTCTTCTTCTATCACAACGCGAAAGAACTCATCAAGGCGGGCCGTGGACCATACTTCTATCTGCCAAAGATGGAACATTACCTCGAGGCGCGTCTTTGGAACGACATCTTCGTCTTTTCTCAGTCATACATCGGGATACCTGTGAACACTATCCGTGCAACGGTTCTTATCGAGACTCTTCCGGCTGCATTCCAGATGGAAGAAATCCTGTTTGAGCTGAGAAACCATTCTGCAGGGCTCAACTGTGGTCGGTAAGTAAAGTTGATTCGAGTTGATTAGTAGAGATTGCTGAGAGGAGATTAGATGGGACTACATTTTTAGTTTCATCAAGAAGCGGCGAGCAGACCGAGGAGCGGTGCTCCCCGACAGGAAGGACGTGACCATGACGGTCGGCTTTATGGATGCCTACGTCAGGCTCCTCATCCAAACATGCCACAGGTACACACGTCACGCGCCGTCTATTTTTCCACTCCACTCATCCTTCCAACAATAGGCGCAAAGTTGCAGCAATGGGTGGCATGTCAGCCCAGATTCCAATCAAGGACGATCCCAAGGCCAACGACGAAGCAATGGCCAAGGTCCGAGCGGACAAGCTCCGTGAAGTCACCGCTGGTCACGATGGCACATGGATTGCCCACCCCCTCATTAACAAGATCGCCCGTCAAATCTTTGACGAAAACATGCTTGGTCCCAACCAGGTTAGTCTCGCATCTCGCATGTGTTTATGTCTAGCTGTAACTCACCCGCATCCCGTGTAGTATCACGTTCTTCGCCAGGACGTCAAAGTCGCAGCTGCGGATCTTCTAAACACCAAAGTTCCAGGAAAGATCACCGAGCATGGCGTGCGCGAGAACGTCGAGACGTCGCTCGCGTACACCTCGGCATGGATCGGCGGTAACGGGTGCATCCCACTCAACCACCTCATGGAGGACGCTGCGACCGCTGAGATCACGCGCGTGCAGCTGTGGCAGTGGGTGCACTACGGTGCCCGACTGGACTCAGGGCGCCCCGTCACGCTCGAGTACATCGATGCATTGGTAAAGGAAATTGCGCCGGGGGTCAAGAAGATCGCTCCTGGTGTGAAGGAGGAGCATGTCCGTGTTGCGGCGGAGTATTTGACCTCGCAGATTAGGAAGCCGTGGCCCAGCGAGTTCTTGACGAGCGACTTGATGCCGTATCTGGCGATTGCAGATGGGGTTGATCCAGCGTTCCAGAAGGCGTCGTTGTAGGAAATGCTTAGTCGCGGGTTCAGTTCTTGTTTCCTTTGTTGGGACTTTCACAAGCCGCCTAGTGTATAATAGGATTCTTTATGTTACCTAACACTGTACATCTATACATTGTCAAATTCCTTGTCATGATCAACGTTATGACGCATGCATGAAAACAAACCAATTCTTCACTCTCACGGAAGGCATTCCATCTATGGCGCACTCTGGATGCCTGTTGTTATCTGACATGAATGCGGTGTTGCAACTCACAGGTCATAGCCCGACCATAGCGCTGGAAGCAAGAAATCTTGCAATTGCTCAGCACTAAATCTCCCGGCCACCAAAGCATTCATTGAAGACCAGCAGGGATATTTTCTCCGAAGCACGTTGAAGCCAGGTGTTGCGAGGAACTCTTCAAAATTTCAAAGCTGGACACCAAGCCAATTGTTTCCGCCGTCTCACACACAAGAATCCAGGGATGCAGAACCATATTCATGTGCATGTCATAATTGTGGGTGGAAACATGGATGCTGCTGCTGCTGCGACGACTTCTGCAAAGACCCCTGCCCATTCTCTATCAAATGTCTGGCGAGTTTAGATGTTCAACTTCGTCCTTCTCCAGTGACGGCGCTTGGCGTTGTACTGTAATCGAAAAAATGCACATTCAGCATGACGTTACACCACCGAAATCGACCGTTCAAACCTGGATTTTTGTGTCCGTCTTGAGGCGGAACCATTGGGGGATCGGCCTAAACAGGATCGCTAGTCAGAATACGAAATTGGATTGGGATGGCTGAGTCCAACGCACCTGTTTTGCCGTCCTGCCTTAGCGAGAATTCTTTTGGTGCGGAAGGTCTTCTGGGAAGGCTAAACAGAACCAAGGTCGTTAAATCATCGTCTATACGGACATTGCAGAGCGTCGAAGCATACCATCGTCGTCGGCGGGCGTTGTTGGTGTTGTCGGACGGATAGAAAAATAAGGTTTGTCGGCTTGAACCGACTGTATAGTTGTTGTCCCGTGCTTTCCCAAGCCGGATAATGCCGAGAACCAGATTTCGGAGATGACCGTGGATCGTGGGAACGACACGTCGTCGCGTGGGTGTGCTATTTTAAGAATCCCCCGCAACCTGGACCACCTCATATCCCGACAACCATGAAACTTCTCCACTGGTTCCCTCTCGTCCTCGCTGCTGCGGCCTTTGCTGCCGATTCGGAGGCTTCTCAAGAGGCTCCTGCGGAGCTTGTCATTGATACCACATTTAAACCTGAGGAATGCTCAGTTGCTGCGCAAAATGGTGATAGGATCCAGGTTCACTACGTATGTTTCGTTCATTGTGTTACCTTAGAGAGGGGGTAGCTGAAATTTCCCTCGTAGACTGGTAAACTTTTCTCCACAGGATCCAGATTCGATTCGAGGTTCGCATTAAATGTATAAGTGCACTCCATTCTTGTTGACTCGCGTGTTCTGTAACAGTCTTGACCGCGGCAAGCCCTTCGGTCTTACACGTACGCACCACAAAGCCTACGCGCATCATTCAACTGTCTAACGTGTTTTTGGTTCTCCAGTCGGCGCTGGCCAGGTTATTAAAGGATGGGACCAAGGACTTGTCGGCATGTGCGTAGGCGAGAAGCGCACGCTTACTATCCCCCCTGAGTTGGGATACGGTACGTTATCGTGTTTCAGCTATGTGCGTCAAGAGGTTATGGAACTCATACGTCGTTAGGTGCCCGAGGCGCAGGCGCCCGCATTCCCCCTCATTCCACTCTTGTCTTCGAGACGGAAATGATGGCCATTGACAGGCCGGCACACCAAGAGCTCTGAAGGGTTGTTCTACAAATACTGGGTATCTCAGAGCTCAATATCACTGGTTTGACATTGGATTACGTTTCGACCCCTCAGTTGGGCGCATGTGTGCTCCGACAGGGGTCCTGCGCTTCACCATCGTGTATCAGCTTTAGCAACCAGTCCGGGTAACACTTGTTAGCGAAAGGCATTCTAAGGTCTTTGATGGTTTCTGTTGGGGTCAGACTTATTGCTTAGATGCAGACCGATACATTGAGTCATCTTTTTACCGAACCTGTCCTATTATCTTCAGTGCGTCATCACTTAGGCTGACCTGGCGATCTGAGCACCAGCACTAGTGCACACGATATTCGATTCACTTGATGTTTGATATTCTCATAGATGCAATCCCTTGTAGCGAGAGCTGCCATCGCGCAATGCACTCGACTACAGAAAATTACTCATATGCGCCAACTTCGACCTCTTCTGTTAAAAACCTACCAGGAGGCGTGCGCCACATGGGACGCATGCTGCCGTCCATATGACAGAGCTTAAAATTTTACAGATGTACGAGTATTATGGTCTCTACGTCGAAGCGACTGGGAATGCATACGTGGGGGCATTGGTTGCGCCAGCTGACTTAGGAGATTGCTCGGCATGCAACGGGAGGGCACATTGTCGCATATCCCCTCATGAAGTTTCACAGGGCCATAAACTCAGATCGAGCCCCGCCGAACATCAGGCCTATTTGTTTTCCACGAGGTAGAAATGTTCACCAATTGACCTCTTTGCTTTAGACTGTTGAAAGTGCAACTGTATAGGCCAGAGTCGGTTTCGGAGGAGCATACGAAGCCTCTATAAATTCATAATGATGCATCAGTGAGACTCACAACGCAAAGAAAGATTTGTCACTTCTGGAGCCCTTTCTGGGAAAGAAGGGCGGCTTGGTAGCCGCCTCGATTTTCACGCGGTTTGAAGTGGGACTGATGAGTATTCCTTTGGACAAGCTATAAGATGCATTCTCAAAGCCTCCAACTACGTATCCGAAGGGTGGTGCGAAATAAAACGTACTCCGAGTGCATAGGCATCGTCTGGGTGTATCAAACTGATTCTAGTAAAAGGATGGGCCTCACTGGGAGTTGAACCCAGGACCTCCTGCATATGAGATGAACCCAAAGCAGGAATCATGCTACTAGACCATAAGGCCGTTGCATTCTGCGCGTGAATGCTGATCCCGAAGGTAGGAGGAGTGTTTAGGCGTATTCCACCTTATTGTGTACATTTTTTGCCGCCGACAAAGGCTTCCTAGGCGCGTCTGAAGAAGGCATCTTTCTTTGTACAGAGGCGCGGAGTCGGCGGATCAAATCACATTCCGACGCCTCCTCCGACTCTCTACATCAAGTGAGCACGAAAGTCTCTGCCCAATGGGTCCAACCTCAGGATCTCTTTTGCCTTTCAGTTTATATTTTTGATGGCTAGTATCAAGTCGGCACCCTTTATTTTAGAGCTACTCTAATGTGTATGAGAGCTACATTAGGTCTTAGTACACCGTGACTGGTGTCAATTTCTCCATGAATTTCTTGGTCTAATCGTATACTAACCAGACACTGATTTTTTAGCGCGTGGATGTATTAGGAACGTGAGCGATGTTGAATAGTCACCTCATTGCGGCTGCGCCACATTCTGCAAGGTTTCGAGCGGTACGTTATGCTCAGTAAAATATATGAAGCGCTTTTGACTATCTTCAGTGCTTTTCGGTGACGAAAGGTCGGCCCGGGTGCTTACATGGCATCCGAATATTTTTCGCATTAGACAGGCTACAATTCCTTGCCTGCTCGAAGACCATTGCGAGACTCTTTCTACCTTCCCTTTGATTTTCTGTGTCTGCTATTCCAGGTATCGGTCTACCTCCGAGTATGCTGGCAGTGTACCTCCGTGCATCTTGTAGCTCTCGTGCCTAGGACAGTGGATGCTATCAGTGAAACTCCCCAGTCATTGGTAAACATAAACTAGGCCCGAAGAATCATAAGGCTGTACAACTTGTGAAAGGCCGCCACCGTTCCTTGAGTTAAGGGACGGTGGTATGTATAATATGTGTCATACCACTGCCCGTCTTGTTTCGCGATCTGTAAAGGCTGCATAGCCCTGCACAACTCCTGAAAAACAGTGGCGTAAGATGCGTCATATGGGCCCTGCCCGCCTTGTTTCACTGTTAACGATCGGTGAACTTTGCCCAGAAAACCTTGCATTGCGCCACCTTTTATTGTGTTTACCAGGCACATCACAACCCAGTGCCTTGAAAGTTTAATTAGAGTTTTACACTTGCTGAAAGACAATAAGACGCGTTTCGTGCCTAGAGCGCGCGGCACAGAAGGCAATGAGTGAGCTGGAAATGAGGGTGAGGGTGAACAACATCGACATACAAGCACAGGCAATCTGGCCCGTCGAAGAAACGCATAAAGGCAGTCTGTACGAGATGGAAGTACCCAGGAGCCAGCTCGACTTGCAAGTGACTTCTAACCACTCGACAACCACTCTCGCATCTTTTAACCACCCTCACCCTTTTATTTGTCATGGATCACTTCGAGAACATTTCCGACATTGTCGACTTCCCCGTCGAACATGATTCCGGCGATGCGACCAGCTACTGCGTCATCGCTTGAGGTACCCTCGCATAGCGCATTAAACTCCATAAGCAATTAACCATCGTATGTTTTTCCTTTTCATGTCAATTGTTTCACTGAATTATCTATGACAGAGATTCTGCGCCCCGTCATTCCACATTCTTTTTTGTTCGTTTCAATGCAGCAATTCCGCATTAGGATATTCTCGTCAGACCGTGACCATGATGTTTCGGGTTAGCTTGAGGAGGTGACTGGAACTTCAAGCTTCAAAGCTTCAAGGGCCACACGATGTAGACACCTCTATTTATTCAATTCGATCGATTTCTTTATTGGGGCAAAGACAGTCTGATCATGAGTTAGTACTAAGCAATGTTGAGTTTTAATCGCAACAGGCATGGGAGTGCTCAAGGAAATGGAATCGAGTTTCGGTTGTACATCACATAGGTAGGTAATCAGGTAAGTAGGACGGAACAAATTTTTCGTAAATAGGGAAACTGAACGCGTATCGTAAGGAGGGCCAGCCGCCAGACGCGATGCCCGCGCCCGTGACCATGGTCACGACACCTAACAATGGACATTGTATGTATCCGATCTGGTCTGGTGCGAATGGCTATTGTATTGGCCCTTGTCACCGTGTGATGCCGTTCCTCCAAGAAAGGTTGTGTCAAGACGAAATTTAGTGCCAGAAGCCATGATTCATAGTCACTTCAGTGCTAGGAAGTTGTACGTGCCATCCAAAACCCTCCCATTTATATTCAGGTTGAACTCCAGGCTGCTGGTTTGTTAAAATACGCTTAGACACTTTTGTTCCACTATTCTTTAAGGCTGTGTCATCGCAGTGCCAGGGCCGGCTGGTTTGGCCACCTCTGTGAATATAAAGCTCAAAATTTGCTAAATTGCATCTCTCCGAGTCAAGTTAGATTCGACTCCCTTCTCTCCCACTGTGAGTGCAGATAGACTGAACCGTTCAGCTAGGATTGACTGTGAGGCTCCATAGCATGAACTCCAGTACAAACGTCGCGCCTTCACATATAGCTCGGTCCTTAGTAGGCTCACCGATATCTGAACTCCCTCCCGAGCTCCTTACAGAAGTTTTCAAGGAGTGCACTTTTAACGAGGAATCGTCCTCGTCGGCTGCCACTATCCTTTCGCAAGTTTGTAATCGCTGGCGCGCATCGATGCTGCAGAATTCTGCCATGTGGACGTTGATCAAAGTACAGCAACGGCTCACGACAGACACATCGAGCTAGAGTGCACGCGCGTCGAAAGATTCCTTACCCTGTCGAAAGATTCCTTACCCTGTCGAAATCTCGCCCTCTTACCATTGACCTCAATATTTTTACCGCTCGCCGCTCAGATAACGTGAACAATGACAATTCTGAAACTTTCTGGGATGCGGTCAAAGGACTCGGAATTTTTCAGGCGCTGCGCGATCATGCACACAGGTTTCAAGACTTCAAGGTTTATGTCGATGAATGGTGTACTACTACCTGTGAGGCCCTATTCCACCTGGCAGGCAGGCCTATGCCTATGTTGGAACACTGGGATGTACAGAACGGATGGGACGACTTTGAAGGACCTCTGGACGAGGTGTCAATGTTAATGTGTCTAAATGGCCCATCGTCTTCGTATTCTAACTTGAAGTTCGCTGTATTCCATGGTGTTCCGGTGTACTGGAGATTTTTTTTTCCTAGCAATCTGGTTTCTTTGGAGATTTGCATGCTACCAAAGACTTGGCGGCCTGAGTTGGAGACAATTCTTGTGGCCAACGCATCTTCCTTGCAACGCCTGGTGTTATTGACGGCACTCACCGACGACGATGAATGTACGGGGACGATTTTAATGCCACAGCTCACCCCTTTGGAGCTTGGGTATCTTGATCCATATTGGCTTATTCCTTTCCTCGACGCCCTCTGTGTCCCTGAACTTGAAACGTTTACGCTGTGCGATAGTTCGTCGGAGTCAGGCCCCATTTCTGAAGATGATTCTTTCGATGTTTTTGATCTGCTTCAAACACTTATAGTACGTCGTCTTCCTCTTGAGCATTTAACGTCCCTCGAATTGTGCAACGTCTGTTTCTATCCATTCGGGACCATGGAGGGATCTATGACTTTAGTGCAGCGTCTGCGGCCCTTGATTCACCAGAACTGCCTCGTTCATCGATTCTTCTCCCGTTTGACTGGCCTGGCACATCTCAGGCTTGTCAACCCCGACTCCTTTACAATCACAGCGCTCAGCTGGCACACCTCGTCTGCACTAATCAAGCATCCGGTTCCTGGCTTGATAACGCTTCGCGTCAGCTCCGATAACGATGTCATGACAGAATTGGGATGGCTTACAACATCCCACTCAGGCATGAGATCCAAGCTTTCACCATTTTCGGGACTTGTTCCCCTCCGAACTAAGACCCCTCAAAACTGGAATCGGTTCCAAGATTCCCAGTGGTCTGCTATTGTGGGCAGCTTGGTCGTAAAGGGTTTCGTTTCACGGTTGGGAATCGCAGGAAAGAAGACATTTGAAACGATGGATGAAGTGGAAACTGATGAATTTCTTTCACTCATTTCTTTGATAACGATACCTTAGCAAAGTGTTTGATTTGTGTGTGTCGTTGGTTTCCTCCTTGCCAATTTGCATCTACCAGTTCAGTGAATAGTATGTATCTACAATACCGCGCATGACAACTCCACGTTTTATGAATTATACTTCAAACAGCGATGAAGATTGAAGGTTCCTTTCTAGTTCTAAATTCAGTGCGTCTACGAGCTCGGGGCAGCGAGTTCTGCAACTGATCCATCTTCTTTTCTGATTGTGACACTGCCATCCTACACGAAAAAAAGGAGAAAAAATCAGTGTTTACCTATGAATAAACCATCAACAACGTACCGCGTTTCCAAAGTAGGCTGCTTTCACGATATTGCAGAACAAACCAACTTCTACAACACCCGTGAGCAGCTTTATTTTGGTTAGTATCTGCACCGCAAATTCATCAGCCTATACGAGGTGGGAAATTGAAGCTAAGACTCACGCCGGCTGGGTCCACAAAGTCTTGTTGTGAGAAAGGCGCGTCAATAACGAAGTTGCCGTTGTCTGTGACTACAGGGCCGGCTGTATTTGAGACGCGTTAGAACAAGACTTGGATGAATTGTTCAGACTTTCACCTTTCTTGACAGCCATACGAAGCGCCGCATTTGGAGATCCAAGGGCCTTGAGGTCTCTTAACACTTTAGCATAAGCAAAAGGTACTACTTCCACCGGAACACCAGGGGCCCACTAGGTTGAACTCGTGATAAGTCACAAGCTAGAGAGAGAAATCGAGAGAAGTCGACGCACGTTCGTTCCCAAAGATTCGGCATTTTTGCGGTAGTCGGCGACAACGATGAAGCTGGATAGATGTTTGTAAACTTGTGGATAGAAAGGAAGCACGTTTCTCACGTTGAAGCTGCTTCAGCGACGACCTTCTCGCGAAGATGGCATGCTCCTCCACCCTTGATACAGTTCAGATTTTTGTCGACTCTGGAATGAGTTTGTAAAGAGGTCCACTGTAACTATGTTGAATCAACGAAGCTTACTCGTCTGCACCATC